CGAAAAACAAATTATAAATTACAATAATTAACAAAATAAATCTCTCGACTCCAACAAATCTATCAATTAATGTCACATAAATTGGGACATGGCAAATAACATATATTATTAAAAAATTAGGTTCAAAATGTACTATAAAATACAATAATTAACAACTTAATATATTAAAGAGACATATAAAAAATGGTTAATATTTGAAATTCTGCGTGTGCCACATAAATTAGAACAAACAGAGTAATAAATATTTTTTTTAAAATTATGTTAAAAAAAATACTACAAATCACAATAGCTAAAAATTTAAAATAATTTTTAAAATTAATATAAAAATTTACAATAACTTCTCAAATTCCATAATATGACATAAATTAAAATAAAAAAATAATATATATATTGGGCCCCGTGCTGGCACGGGGTCCTATATCTAGTGTATAATATAAAATATTATCTAGGTCCACCAAATTGTCCGGAAGTGAGCAAAGAAAGTCATTCATTCAAATTTAGTGAGTTAATATTTGTATTAATTAGGATATCAGAAAAAAGAAAGGGACGTTTTGTTGGTTTCTATCTGATATCCAGTATTCATATTGAAGCTCGACTAATTTAAATTCACGTCACATAGAGTCTATTCAGGCAAAACACTTCCTATCAAAATATTATCCACACTTGAAATTCGAAATCGAAATCTCTAATTAAAGAAAAAACTGCCCTCATTCGCTACACATAGTAGAGAAAGGGACATTGTTTTACTGTTGGCCTTGTTATTGATCATTTCCTAATTCAAATTGCAGAATTAGTAACAACAACAAAATTGATAAATAGACAGACCAAATATTTCATCCTCCTTTTTTTTTTTGTGCCCATTTTTTCTTTCCTTAAATATTATATACAAAAGAAGACGTGTCTTGTTTTAAGACATGCCAATTTCTTCAAAGAGAAAAAGACATTCAAATTATAATTATGAATTTAATAGTCATTATTTAATAACAAGAATAATAAGCATATGAAATGTTCCAAAAATATGAATAATTGATTTAACTCTTTGAGATTTCAAGTTCGAATGTCACTTACAATGTGGAGTAATAAGAAGGATAGCATGAAACGAAATAAATTATTTGATCTGAACTAACTTAAGATATTTTCTGATTTGAGGATAAGTTATAATTTCATACAAATAAATATAATTTATGAATAAATTAATTTATTAAATATATTTTCTCGATGAATAATATAAATATAGTTAATTCGAACATTATAAATATTTTCAAGATAGGCTAACCACTTGCCTTAATAAGATTACCAACTCTCATCGATGAAACCATAAATTAGGTAAACTTTCTAGATAGAATATCCTAGAGGAAACTTAATCAACTCAACTACCTTCCTAATTTTCTTTGATTATCCATTAAGTAATTACTAAGTACTAATACTACTATGGTCTTTAATATTATTGTTGAAGACTCCCTTAATTAATTCGAGTTTACGTAAAAAAGATTTTGCTTTAAGAATAAAATGTTCTTTATCAATAATAATTTTATATTTAAGACTTGAATCTATAATTCATGATTAAAACGGTAGAAATATTTTATAATAGCTATTTAAGGTGTACAAAATCAAATCGAAGACCGAGTCAAAAAATAAATAAATCCAACTAATGGTTTGGTTTGATATTGGAAATAAATTTTGACTATACTAGGTTAGTTTGGTTTTAACTAAAAAAAGTTAAATTGAGACTAAACCAATCCGACATTATATATATAATTCTTAAAATTTATATTATACATAAAAGTACTTGCTTTGATATAATTTCTAAATATTTCTTATACATTTTCATATTTTTTTTTTCTTTTAACATATTATTCAAGCTTTGAGACTTTGAATTTTAAATGGTTTAATAAAAGTTATAGTCAGGGCCTCTATTAGTAACACTAATAAAGCTCAAACAAAATCAATACTAATGCTAATAAAATAATTAATTAAGTCAACATTAAGAAAGACAATAGTGTTGAATATTTGTTCTTTAGCTCTACATTGTTTTAAACTTCAAATTATTTTAGCATGATGATGATAGTTTTTTATGATTTATTAATTTACAATATCTATTATATGCGATTTCATTATTATTTTTTTGTTGAATATTTTAGTGTCATCACTCATTTCATATTTTGTGTTGTTTTCTTAAGAAACACGTTAGATAATTGTATTTTAGTAGGACTAACGAAATATTTGGAGCACAAATTAATTATAAATTTGTATAAATACTTTATCGAAAAAATTCAAAAATCCGAAAAACCAAAATTGAAAAACCCAAGTACTATTAATTTGGTTTATAAATTTTTAAATTTAACACAATAATTTAATTTGATATTTTAAAAATCTCGACCAATCTGATCATATTAATTAATTTATTCAAATAAAGAAACTCTCAATTTCAAGAATAGTGACAACTGACAAATAATATTAATTAATTCCTCCGTCCTAGAAGATTGACGGGGTTCAAAACATCAGAATTAATTAGTCTCTTTGAAATACAATTTGTTAATTTTAATTAGTCTCCATATAAACAGAAGTTGTTATAATTACTTAGTTAATTGTATTTGAAAAAGAACTGTTAAACTATCTAAAAATTAGTACCATGATTTATTGATATTGATACGACGAATGGACTAATATTATCATTTTTAATAAAAAAATTCAATTCAAATTTAAAAACAGAATTAATTTTGTTTGTTGAGCAGATGTAGGAGTTCAAACACAAATTTATTCAAATTTACTAGTTTTTTCTCAAATAATAAATATATAAGATAATGATTAAAAATACACATAAAAAATATTATATTTTTTGATTTTTTTTATAATAACTATCAAATATTTGTGTTTCCTAATTAAAATAAGCCTTTAGTGTATATAAAAGACCTCACAATTTAAGAAGTAACTATAGAAATGAGGGAACCCACTATTTTATTTATTTATTTATTAGATTTTTAATATAACTCTCAAAACACACCTGATTAGTATTTGATGATGACAATATACACTTTCTCTTTTGATTTAAAAAAGATGTCAAATGACACTCCATGTGAATAATTAAAGGAAGTAATTACGAATTTTTTTTTTTTTTACTCCCTCTAGCCCAATATCCAATATAAATGAATTGTTAAGATTTCTATAATCCAAAATGGCTCAATTTTTTAAAGCTAATAAATAAATAATTTTTTTCTTCAAAATTTTCCTTCTTTTTAATAAAATTTTCAACGACTTTAAAATCCCAAAACTCAAAAGTAATGATTATTCAAGCCCTACTAACTTCATTATATTTTTATCCTTCGGGGTGGCCCAGTGGTTTCAAGTTCGAAATCCCTTGCCAGCGAAAGCACGAGGTCTGCTTTCTGGGTCGAGCTCGTTGCACCGAGCTTGCTTAGTGCGGGTTACCTCTCCTATGTGGTTTGCGAGCTATTGCATAGGAGTAGGGGTTTTATCCTGTGCGTACCCAAAGAGTAGCGACTGCGGATTTCCCTTGTCATAAAAAAATAAAATAAAAAATACACCTAAAATATATTTTTACCAAATTTCTTATCTGAACTATCTTGTGTTTGCTTTTCTTACCCAAAACAATTATAATGACAAAATACAATTCAAATGCTATCAAGTCTTTAGACCCAAATTTCAAAATTTCTATTTTTTGTGGTGTTTCTCATGTGTAGGGGTGTCAAAATGGGTAAATAATATGTGTATCCGATCATATTATCCATTTTAAATGGGTTGGGTATTCAACTCATTTAAAAATGGGTAAAAAACGAGTAATACTCATATTACCCATTGAAAAGTGGGTAGTTAAATGGATCAAAGCAAACAAACAAAAAAAAGTGATAAAGGTAAGAAAGTCTTTTTTTTTTTTAAAAAAAATCTATAAAAAAAAATGAAACTTTTTTTTACATTTAATTTGGGATAGGAGGGTGGGGGGC